GCCAAAATTTGACGATCTGAGCATTATGAGCAGGTGCCCGTCTTGCTGATAATAAATGTTTCTACGAATCTCAATGGTAAATCATCAAGAGAAATGCAAATCATTATGCAAAAACTAGGCATCTTCTTCCCTGGTTCCGTCATAGAAATGGGGTCCAATAACTATCACCAATCAAAACCAACCCATACATTTGAGTCCTCCAACATGTTTGAAGTTTGTGAACAGCCAGTGAGGATTTTCATTCGACCAATAACGGTTATTTTGCTTGTTTAATATTCCATTATTTGTAAATTTACTTTCATCAGTCCACAAAATATGATTAATCAATGATGGATCATCTCAGACATCGCCATAAACCAAGAAATAAAATTTAATCTTTTTTCTGGGTCTGTTATGCGTAAATGTGGACTAAGTCTGGTTTGTAAGGGTGTTTATTTTTTTTTTAAATCTTATGAACTAAAGTTTTAGGTATGCCAACTTCATGTCCGACGTGTCTAACAGACGAACGGGTTAAGATGTACATACGCTAAAACTTGATTTAAATAAATCAAGTTTATAAATAAATATTTAATTAGTTTAATAATAATAATTTTGATTGTTTGTTTCATGGTGCTTAAAAATAAATAAATACGTACAGTTAGAAAAATTAATTAAATTGAATTTTTAAATTTTTAAATTCTACTTAGCTCTAGTTTAGTCAATTTTGGGTTTAGGACACAAGTTGATACATCAAAATGGCTTGAAAAATCGACGAACCCGAATATGATATTAAAACTACGGGTTGCCATTTAAAAGTGAGTTTTTGTGCATGCGCAAGAACATGAGTTAAAAACATTGTAAGTCATAGAAATTTACGATCCATTAGTCTAGTTTAATGTCCCGCAAACAGAATTGAAAATATTTACATGGTAATGAGTGGTAAAGTGGCCCCTGATTTTTGGGACACACGGTATACATCGAGGGAGCAATAACCAAACCTGCAGAAATAACCGACGACATTCGATTTATAAACAACAGTCTGGCATTTCTTTTCTCCGAAATGAAATATGAGATAAATGCAGGGGCGGCGCTACACCGGGGCCAGGGTGGGCTAGTGCCCCCCTAACATTTGATTTTGCCCCTCCGTTGCCCCCCCCCCCCCTATAATTTAATGTTGAAAATTTTAATCTTATCTGAAAAATGAAAATGCATTTTAAATTTAAAATTATATTAATTTGTTGTCATTACTGATGAGATTATTTTTGTGTAACTACTAACTATTGTAGAATAATTTATTTGTTGAATGTTATTGGGTTTCGGGACAATATTTCTATTATTATAAGCCATAATATTAATATGATTCCTGTTTCGTCTATTTTTAGCAATATCATAATAGTTTTTTCTTAGAAATGGAAGAAGTTATCAACGAGTAATGACGACGACAAAGACGGTTTAGTTGTATATGTAATTATAATTTTATAATGAAATAGTATACATCACATTATTCAATGCAACATAAAAATTAATACTTAATAGACTAGAGTGTAGTTTTGTCGCGGTTACAGGAACGTGTGTCATAAATCATAATAATCATATTATTTTTCGCGTGCATTCGTGTCATTCAACGTTAATATTTCTAACTGATTTCTCATATTTTTTAATTACATTTTATGATGAGTAATCAAACCAGAAAAATAAACACCTATTTCTCATCCAATGTGAGCAAACGTGTAAAAGAAACAGAATAGGAAGATAATATTGAACTAGATTTAGCTGAATGCACAATTCAAAGTGACGATGAAATTAATTCAAGTAAGTTATCGTTACAATTGGTTTTAATTTTAATAAAAATTGTATACTTCCACATTAATTAATTTAAAGTCTGGTTTTCTAAGCACTAAAAGTTGTATAAATTATATTATTATATTTATATATGTAGATAAATTTAAATATACATTAACAAAAATATTAGTGGGCACTAATCATGTAAATTGGGTTATATATTTTTGTAGGTACAATAAACTATTTAAAAATATATATTGCAAAGTAAAATATATAGTAAAGTATTATTAAAGTTATATAATTAAATTTAAAAAAAGTTGGTAAATTATTATATAGTACCTATCTAGATTATTTAATTTATTTTAAAGTTGTTTTTTTAAATTAACTCTTGAGTATTATAGAAATTACAATCTACAGAATAATTAAATAAGATACCTATAAATTAATATTAAAAATAAACTTAAAACTTGTTTTTTGAAATTTGTCGAAAAATGTTAATAAAAATATTATTACCTAATATTTTGTTGTAAAATACTAAAATATTTAATTAAAGATTAAAAGATTAATTAGATGTTGTTTAAATTGATTAGGTATGAAGTGAAAATTAAAAACAAAAATGTACACTATAAAATATAATTTTAATCCTAATGTAGTTTACAAGTTTACAACTACTATAACTTACATTTTACAATCAACCAAAATAAATTAATGTAAATTCAAGCTGCAGGTAAAACGTTTAAAATTGAGTGTCTCATAGTTGCTATACTCTAGCTCTACCACCTTTTAATTTACACAATTTAAGCATTATAATTTAAAAATAATTATTTTGCCTTTAGGTATTACAGAGAGTTCAAGTTCAAGTGGCAGTGATTATGATGACAATTCTAAGGTAGTTAATGAAAAATTAGAACAAACTAAAATAAACCAATCAAACGAAAAAAACAAACTTGTGTCAGATCAACAACCAGTTAATTTAAAAATAGGCCCTTTTCCAAGTGATATTACAAAATTTGTGAGTAACCATCCAACTCGACCATTATTAAAAATGTTTCCTCAAACAAAATTTGGTAAACAGTGGCGACACTTTCGCGCTGAATGGTATAAGCTGTATCCTTGGTTAGAGTATAGTGTTGTTGAAAATGCATCGTATTGTTTCCCTTGTCGTTTTTTTCACCGGAGTCTGATACCTCACCTTTTTGTAAAGCTGGCTTTAAAAACTGGAAAAAAGCCATGGATAAGGATTCTGGTATTAAAGGTCATGATAAGTGTGTAATGCATAAAACGTGTATAGCTATGTGGGAAGGTTATAATTTATAACTCATAAACAATCAAAACATCATAAATTTGTCCTAGTACAACTCAATAATGCGAACGAAGCGTTAATCATAGAAAATCGTTATTACATATCAACTGTGGCTGAAATTTTATTATTTACAGCGTGCCAAAATATAGCTCAACGTGGTTATGATGAAAGTGAAAATAGCTTAAATAAAGGGAATTTTATAGAGTTATTGCAATTATGTGCTAAAAGAGATGTAAGATTAAAAAATAAAATTGAATGTTTACCAAAAAATGGCAAATACACTCATCATTCTATACAAAATCAATTGTTTTCAATAATGAGTAAATTAGTACTACAATCAATTTCAAATGAAATAAAAGAATGCAAATATTTTGCAATTTTAGCAGATGAAACAAATGATATCTCTAAAACAGAACAGTTATCTATCATGGTACGGTATTTTCATAAAAACATTATTCATGAAAGATTTTTAGGATTTGTTCCATGTTCTTCTTTAAATGCACAATCACTGTTTAATTATATTAAATGCACATTGTCTGATTGTGAAATTGACATAAATAATTGTGTTGCTCAGACTTATGATGGGGCAGCAGTAATGAGTGGCAATGCTAACGATGTACAGGCAATTTTTCAACGAGAAGTACCACAAGCAATTTATACCCACTGTTATAATCATCGATTAAATCTTGTTGTTGTAGATGTTTGTAAAAATATTCCAGAAGTGGCTACATTTTTTTCATTACTTCAAAAAATCTATAATTTTATTAGTAGATCAACAGTACACACCGAATTTATTGAACTACAAAAAAAGTTAAGCCCAAAACATAAATGTGTGGAATTAAAAAGTATTTCTGAAACTAGATGGTTGTGCCAAATTGCTGCTTGCATAGCTATAAAAAAAACACTATCGATTATTTTAGTTTTACTAAATAAAATTAGTTTAGATTCAAGAAATGACAAGAGTTTAGAAGCTAGTTCACTTTAAGTCATATTAACTTTGAATTTTTATTGTGTTTACACTTATTCTGTAAAACCTTACATGAGTTAAAAATTGTGTCAGACTATTTGCAAAGAGCTGATTCTGATATAAGTTCTAGCTGTATTCTTGTTAATTCATTGGTTTCACATTTAAATGAATATAGAAATACAATTGAAAATTTTAATGAATTGATGAATGAAGTTAATTTAGCTGCTGAAAATAACAACATAAAAAGCCTAGAAACGGCAAAGAAAAAAAGAACAGTGAAGTTACCTACAAAGTTTACTGCATTTTTAACAGAATCAATAACAGAAACCAGAGCCATACAAAATACTAACGATTTAAAGTTAATGATATTTTATCCTGTAATTGATAGAATGGTGAGTGAATTGAACAAAAGATTCACTAACAACAGCCCAATTTTAAAAGGAATAGGTTCTTTTAATCCTATTAGTTCAACATTTTTGGATATGAACAAAATACAACCACTTTCCTTACATTATGGTACTGATTCAGACAGCTTGTTAGCTAAATTAAAACTATTACCAAAACTTATTAAGAGATATAAAGAAGAAAATAATTGTGAAATAAAGACTATACTTGATTTAGTATATTTATTAGAAAAGTATAAAATGGCTTTTTGTGAAACATATATTTTATGTACAATTTCAATTATAATACCACCTTCAAGTGCAGGAGCTGAACGAACTTTTTCAAGCTTAAGACAGGTTAAAATCTATTTAAGAAATCATATGTCCAACGAAAAATTAAAATCCATCGCAATATTAGCTATTGAAAAAAAAGCCTCTAAAAACTTAAATTTAGACATGGTTGTAGATAAATTTAGTGCAATTCATAATAATAAAAAAATTATTTTATCCTAAAAATTTATAATTGTTTATATTAATTTTAATAATACTAATAAAAGAAATAATGCTAATATAATAAATTGCATTTATTGATTTTTCTTGTAATCTATAATATAAAAATGAATCGCAAAATGTGTTGGTAAGCGCATAACTCAACAACGCCTGGACCAATTTGGCCAATTTTTTTTTTAAATGATGGAGAATGTCGGGGAGCGGGTTTATAGCATAAATTATGGACCTAACTCCTGTGAGTTAGAGATTTAGAGACAAAAACTGAGTTACACAGGTGGCGCCCTCTAGCAGATAAAAATATAAATAATAATACAAATATCGATAATAGTAGGGCTTGAAATGTCAAAAATGAAGCTATGTAACTAGGTTACAAAATAAAACAAATATAAATTAAAATCTAAATCATGTGGCTAATTCATTATCATGCCGAGAGCGCAAAGAGCACGCATTGGCAGAAGAACTGCCAATGCATGCAACTCGAATGTATAACAGAAGGCAACAAAATAACACACCAGAACGTTCTCAAGCACTTGCATAGGTGCAACTTAACGCTTTGAGTATGAAATCAGCGTTTAATTATCAATCCGAGATTGATTATTTAAATATTAAAGCGCTTCAAATTGGACAAATGACTATATTATGTCCTAAGTGCCATGCAAAAAAATGGAAAGATGAAACCCATAGCCTTTGCTGCGCTGACGGTAAAGTTGTTTTACACCAATTCGAGGATCTTCCAGACCCAATTAAAAGTTTAATTGATAATTCTCACCCTCTATCAAAACATTTCTTTGATAATTCTAGACGGTATAATACTCTGTTTCAAATGACATCATTTGGAGCAAACGAAGTAGCTGAAGGGAACTTCATGTCCTCTTTTAAAATTCAGGGTCAAGTGCATCATTTAATAGGTAGTTTATTACCTGAAATTGGAAATAAAGCTAAATTTTTTACAAATATATTTTATGTCAGAGTCGGATCAAATATAACGCTAGAAAAATTTCAATCCGTTTTCATTAACCGTTTTTTTTATATTTACTTGCCGATCACATTAAACAATAATATTTGAATAAAAAATTCTACATATCATGGTCCGAAGGCAAAATAAACAACCAATCACGGGCGAAGCTGTAACGGGCCGGCTATCTATTGATACAGTTACATCAACAGATGATGTTATTCATTATCCACAAGAATTTCTCAATTCTCTTTCTCCTTCGGGATTTCCTCCTCATAAATTAAAATTAAAAATTGGTGCTCCAATTACATTATTACGTAATCTTCAACCACCGAACTTATGTAACGGTACAAGATTACAAATAAAATCGTTGCGAAATAATATTATAGAAGCCGTAATTCTTACAGGGCCAGCGAAAGGAGAAATTGCATTTATTCCATGAAATCCCATGATTCCCCCTGACTTACCGTTTTCTTTCAAACTGCTTCAATTCCCGGTTAAAGTTTCTTTTGCCAATACCATAAACAAAGCGCAAGGTCAAACATTCAAGTACGTTGGCGTAGATATTCGTACAGAGTGCTTTTCACATGGCCAATTATACGTGGCATTTTCTCGAACTGGGGACCCGAATCATCTTATGATTTTAATTTCAACAGGAAATATAACAAAAAATATCATATACTCAGAAGTCTTATAAAATTCTTATTTTAATTCTTTTTTTTTCTTTTTTTTTCTTCAACTTCAATAAAATTCTTTATCAACCATAAATTATTTCTTTTTTATCTGTATTATTTTTATCATTTATAACGCTAGAAAAATTTCAATCCGTTTTCATTAACCGTTTTTTTATATTTACTTGTCGATCACATTAACAATAATATTTGAATAAAAAATTCTACATATCATGGTCCGAAGGCAAAATAAACAACCAATCACGGGCGAAGCTGTGACGGGTCGGCTAGTTGGTAATATAAATATGTTGCTATTTAGGTATTAAGTCCAAAAAGCCTTATTATTTAAGTCAATTTGCAATGAACATAAAAATGAATGTGCATATTATAAAACATTCATATGTCATAACTTATGACTCATAAGTCATATACTTTGTGAAAAATTTACATAAAACATATTAGTACTTAAGGATATACCTTATACCTACTTTGGATTCCATAATATTAAAAATATGTAAGTAAATAAAGACATTGTAAATCATTATTAATATATAAAATTAGTATTAATCACTTAAAAAAGTTTTTAGACTTAAGTTATATTATTTTAAAATTGACTGTTATATTTATATTAAATATGATTTTTTGCACATTTAGAAATAAAAATACTCAAATACTCAATAAAGTTAATAGGTAAGTACTGACTATACTCTTTCTAAAATTGCATACATACAAAATAAAAAGTTACGTATTGTTACATACAAATAAAAGAAAAAAGAGGAAATTTGAAGTTCTATTATAGTACATTTATGATAATTATAAAATATAGTAGGTATATTTTTTGATTATTTATTTAAAAATATAACATATTATACCCAAAACATTTTTAGCAATAATTTCCTGAAAATATGGTATAAACAAATTAATGGGTATTTAAGTAGCCATACATAAATGCCCCACCAGAAAAAAATTTGGCCCGGTATCGCCCCCCCCCCCAATAAAAAATATCTGGCGCCGCCACTGGATAAATGGTATTCAAATTCATAAACTCGTTAATCCAGGCATTTCGACCACATTAAAAGGCTATTGCTCTTACAATAAATTAAATATTACATCACGCAATAACGCTGCTTGGGTTAGTGACACTAACAATGATAATAAAGATTTTATTGATGGTACTATGTTTAACGGTTGTATTAATCTTAAAGATTTGTTCGGTTTTTGTGAAGATTATAAACGTATTTTAATAAACTGCAACCAACAACTTATATTAAATAGAGCTTCACTGGATATAAATGCTATTAAGCAGTATAAAAATAATGAAGTTGTTGCAGACGCACCTAAACTAAAAGACGTTAAAATAAATATAACAAAAATATTATGGCGGATGCCTATAGTAAAAGTCGGTGATAAAGAAAAAATTAGATTGTTGAAAGTAGTAAACAATCAGAACCGCTAACATGCGCGTTTAGATCATGGGAGTTGTGTGAATATCCGTTTCTACCTCAAAACACAACACACTCGTGGAAAGTAAAGACGTCCAATAAATTAGAAAAACCTAGATATGTCATAATCGAATTTCAGACCGACAGGAAAAATAGCTCGACTAAAGCAATGTCGAACTTTGATCATTGTAAGATTAAAAACTTGAAGGTATATTTAAACAGTGAAGTGTTTCCCTATGAAGATTTTCAATGTGACTTTACCAAAAATAAAATTGGTACATTATACCACGCGTATATAGAGTTCCAAAAATCATACTATGGGCGCGATGATGTAACACCTCTATTGAAACGTTCAGATTTCAAAATTTTTTTTCCAATAATAGTTATTGATATGAGCAGACAGGACGACAACGTTAAGACATCTACTGTCGATCTTAGGATTGAATTTAAAGCCACCGATGCGTTTCCAGCTTCCACTTCAGCATATTGTTTAATATTACATGACCAAATTATAACTTATATCCATTTAATGGAGAAGTAAGAACCTTATAAATATTTATTGTGAATCTTAATATTAATAAATGAAAATAGTTTTTTTAAATATACAATGTTTTTTTATTTCAAACAAATTATTTTATTCTACAAATATAAAAATTATTTTTACATAATATGTATACTTATTATTTTTGAAAGAGTTTACGTTTGATGTAAAAGGCGTTTCCGATACAGCTGAATCGGAAAATTCTGATGCCGCTAATGAACGCTTATTGAAATATGTCGGCCCGTCATTTTCATCGGCTGTTCTACACCATAATAATGAAAAACGTGATGACGGAGATGATAACGGTGATGATGGAGGGGACATTGGAGTAGGTGGTGGTAATGGTGAAATGGTCGTTGTTTCTTTAAACATCTAAAATAATAAAACAAATATTTAATATTTTTGTTTAAGGAATAATACATTTTTTAATTACCTCATGCGAGTTGTTCGCCCCCTGATTTAACAAAGTTTCAGCTAATTGTTCAGCTGCGTACATCTGTATTTGATTGGTGAAATTTGGAATAGATTTAACGACTAGATCGTCTTGTATGTTCTTAATGTAAACTATCATCTCGTCCATATTTTTTATATGAGTACATTTCTTGTCTAGGTACACACAAATCTCTTCATATTGTTTTATAACTAACGGAGCGGTGAATACTTCTTTTCGCACAATGCTCTCGAAAATTGAACATTCAAGATACTGAAGACGTAAAAGGTCTGTCCGATTTAGTAGTACTCTACATCCTTTGCGATTTTTCGCTTCGATTACCAACATATTTTCTCCAGTATACACCATATTCGATAGTTTTATTTCATAATCTTCATAAAACAATACTCGCTTATACTTTTGTGGTGTGTCTAATATGAACGATAAGATATGCCCCATATACCAGAATATTTTTTTCATAAAGTCTGTTGTAATATGTATGTTAACGATATCAATAAAAATAATATACGCTTATAAATAATTATAAATTCACGGTCACCGCCACCGATCCACACACACACACACAAACATTATATTTTTCTTAATTATTTTTATATTTTAATTGTGTTCGTGAATTATATAATATCATTAATTATTATTTAAATTAATTATCGGCGCGTTATCTGCTGCCGCCGGCTCGCAGGTGCGCATAGATTAACGTGGCCGCCGAAAAAGTCTTGTCTCTTGCCATACGTCGTCGCACAAAGATCAAACGGCCGTTATTATATTATATTATTTTTTATTATATTTTGTTGTGCAAATCGCTTATTTTCTAGTATTTTTTTATTATATTTATTATTGTGAGCGCGAATCGCCAATTCTATTATTTATTATTAATTTTATTATATTTTTATATTGTGTTCGTTCCTGTTGTGTGTGTGAGCGTGATTATTATTTTTCATATAGCCATATTTAGGACCAGCTGGCCAGTCTGCACTCCACAAATTGTGAGTTTTAATAACTGTTATTTATTTATTTATTATTATTATTATATTAAGTATTATTAACATTTATTTAATTGAGCCAAAAGAGCTTTATATTTTTTTTATATCAATATCCGAGCTTTCAGCTCTAATAGTTTTTTATATATTATAATCGTGTTATTGAGCCAGAAGGGCCTTAACTACTTATTACTATTTATCATATACTTATATTTATTCTGTTTAGCCATAAGGGCTACGCAGTTTATAGCGTTTATTAATTATTATATTATATTTTTGTCGTGGCTTTAATAGCTACTTATCTTATTATATTTTTACATGTTGGGCCAAAAGGGCCGTAATTACTATTAGTATTTTATTTATCATTATTATATATCCTATTACCGTAACAAGTATTACCATTTATTTATATTGAGTTACCTGAGTCCCCTAGTTTTAGTTTACACACATACATATATACACACACATACACACACCACCCACACACTAGCACTCACTAGTCCACTTCCTGTTGAGTGCTATACACATATACACACAAACACAGGTCGGTCGGTGTGTGACCGTATAATAGCGTATTAATATTTGGTGATCGGGGCGCGCATACTTATTATTAGATGCTCCCGGCCCGTACAATGTACGTGCCGCGAAGAAGATAATACATGAATAACGTCTTTGAATTTTTCACTCGGGTCAATACCGATATGTATAAACTTACGGACTGCGAAGTCTAGTGTATAGCTAGTGGATTCGATGAGTTCGGCTGGAGGTGTGGCGGTACATAAGTAAAAGTCTTCTTCTTCATATATAACGCTGCGTTGTCTTCGATTGAACCGGCCATATTAAATCACTTGTTATTAAAATAATATAAACGATGGAAAAATTATAAACACTCGGAAAAACGCGGAGGAGTATTATATGTGTGTAAGACTGGAGACAGACTAAATGAATGTCGGCTCTTGCAGATTCAAGTGCTTGTCGAATTGGATCAATATTAGGGGTAGGAGGAACGATAATAGTGTTAAAATAACAATAGACCATATAGACATGTTGATGCATACCGATGCATGTCGATACTTTGATATAATTTGCACGTTGTTGATTATATAATGTAACTGGCTGCTCGAATATATGATTCATATAAGTTAATATATAGCGAGTACAATAATATGGTGCATGTACAATAATAATATGACTCATATATGTTAATATATAATTCATATGTGTTAATATGGCGTATGTACAATAATATGATAAGCGTAATTGATAACTCGGTGTTGGAACAGGTGGTGGGAATACGTTACACAATTAGACGGTAGGTAGAGGTAGGGTTATGGGGTGTGCATTCAGAACTCATCTGCGTTAATATGGCGCATGTACAATAATATGGCGTACTTACAATAATAAGTCTTTGGTTGAGGGGGTGGGGGTAGAAAGATGGCAGGGTAAATGTACGTCACACCGATCATGGTGTTGAAGGAGTGAGGGGGTAAATGTACGTCACACCGGTCTTTGAGGGCGAGGGGGTGACGAAAAATGTGGGAGATCAGGATCAGGTTTCAGAACATACCAAATCATATTACTTCCGTCCAGTGGCGTGCCCAAGGGGGGGAGGTTAGGGGTTATATCCCCCCCCATTGACTTTTTTTTGTTGACTTCAACTTATTAGATATTAAATATTACTTTTAATTATCAGTAATAAGTTAGGTATTGCTTATAAATTATTGCCCAATGCACATTGGATATTGCTTATTATAAACATTCACTATACAGATTATAGATCAGTGATCATGTGTTACGTTCACGGGCTATAAATCCTCTAAGTAATTAATAATTAATAATGTTTATGATAAGATGGAATCAAGGTGTATTGATATTTGATACACCTTGGATCACGGTAATCACGTAAACTAATAGTATAAGATCTATGGGTAAATCAGTGGTTACTAATCAGTGAATCACTAATCAGATATAAATTATCAGCTACTTCAATGACCAGTTCTTATCTCTCAGTGTGATCATAATACAATTGTGATATTCTATTAATAGCTAATACTCTATTATTGTTACTTTGTGATATTATTATACAACATTTCAAACGAAACCAAATGCAGTGATAGTATACACTATACCAACATAGTACATACTTCCAAAAATTTGTATTTATTATTTAAGTATTTAACATTTAACAATTTTAAGTTATTTTATTTATAATGGCAAAACGTGATGGTTCGATTATGTCATTTTTTTCAAAGAAACCTAAAGCCGATCAGAGGGTAAGTTGGTATTGAAATATTAAGAATGTAAATAATATTATGATGAAAATAAGTTTATTAAGTATTATACTATTATGTAGTTTAATTTTATATAATGTAATTTAATTATAATAGTTAAGATTAATGTTTGTATTTATATTAAATAAATAATCAAAGTCTTTATTATTGTTTTATGTTTATAAAATATTGAATCACCCGAAGCTATAGTAAAATAGTAAAATTAGCTAATCCAAAAAATGAATCAATCAAATTTAAAAATATTTAATAATTTAATATAGCAAATAAAAACTCAACATATTAATGATGATGATGATGCCATTGATGATCCTGAACCTATGGTCTCAATCACATCTTCTAAACCAGAATCCGAAGATCCTCAAGATCCTATTTATAAATTGTTAGATCAGCAAGTTAATTGCACAGTAAGTCTACATAATATTTTGTTAATTTAAATGAGTTATAGACTTAGTAAAAATTAACACTCATTACTCATATATAATTATATTTTTATAAAATATAAATAAATATTATTACATTTTTACTTTTTAGATAAATACATCACTTATGGCTACGGATTTTAACGAAACAATTATTGACAAATCAGACATTTTTTATGTTGTTGATTCAATATCCAAAAATATTAAGGTAATATTCCTTCATATATCTATTTAAATTTTAAATATTTTTTTATTATTACACAATAACAATAATTTGTATTTTTTAAAGTACAGAACAGAGAATTATTTGTTTATGTTTTGTATATATTAATGTTAATTTATATTTACCTATTGAATTTCAAAATATCATTATTGGACTTATTTTAACCTAATATTTTACACTAAGTAAAAATAAGTGTCTATTATTTTATGAACTATTAGTCATTACATTTTTGGAAAGTATTTTATACATTAGCTTTAACATTTACTCAACAATTTTTAAAATGTTTTAAAATGAATACATTTTTCTAATATTTCTGGTTTATAAGTTATATTTATTTAAAAAAGATTCTACTTTAAAATCTTCAATTTTTATGAAGAATGTATAATTTAATTGAGTTACACATATCACAATTAAAACTGTATGAATGATTAGTAAGTATATTAATTTGTTTTCTAATGGCTAATTTTAGATTCTCAGTGCACATAATATTTACATAATATAAGCTTATTATAAAAACAATTACAAAGTAATGCACTAAAAATTGTATTATAATGCCAAATAGTTTGAAGATTTGATAACCATTTAAAGTTATTGAGTAAATGTATTTTAAGAGCTAATGCTACTCAACATTTAATAAAAGTTATATTGCTTATAGAAGATTATTTAGCTTTTGTTGGTCGTTTAAAAATAAAACAATTATTTAATAATAAATAAATAATTAATACTATTATTATTATATATTTTAGTTAAGTTCAAAAGAAAAATTTGATTTGTTAAACAAAAATTGGTGTCCAGATTCGGCTTTCAAATTTCCATTATCAGGTAAAAGGAAACTAAGATTTCAACATGCATGGTTTATTCGCTGGAATTGGCTAGTATATTCATTTAAAGAACTTGGTGCTTATTGCAAATTTTGTGTAATATTTGGACAAAACGATGGAGGTAGAGGATGCCAAAAACTTGGCAAACTAGTGTTATCTCCATTTAATAATTGGAAAGATGCTACTACAAAATTCAATGATCATTTGGAGAAAGATTACCATAAATTGTCTGTTTTAAAAGCAGATAGTGTCATAGATATGTACAAAAACCAAAAAAAACCTATTGATGTTCAGTTAAATGATTATTTAAAGAGTGAAATTCAAAATAACCGGGAAAAAATTAAGCCAATTATTGATACTTTAATACTTTGTGGTCGCCAAGGTTTAGCAACGAGAGGACATCATGATTCTGGTCGCATTGATGTTGAAAAAGAGTTAAATGACGAAAATGATGGAAATTTTCGGGCATTACTTCGCTATAGAGTAGAAGGTGGTGACTTGATGTTGAAAAAACATTTATTGGAAGCACCAAATAATGCTACTTATTTGAGTGGTAAAATGCAAAACGAAATAATTAGCGTATGTGGAATGATAATTCAAAAACAAATTATTTCAAAAATAAACCGAGCTAAATGTTTCTCAATTTTAGCAGATGAAACTGCTGATGTATCCGGTGTAGAACAATTTTCTATTTGTGCAAGATATTATGATGAAGATTTGAAGAAATTAAGAGAAGACTTTTTAGTATTTGTACCTGTTACAGATGTTACTGGAAAAGGGTTAGCTACAAAAATATTAGAAACTCTAAGTTGTTTAAGTTTAGAAACAAAATATTTAAGGGGTCAAGGATATGATGGTGCGGCATCGATGAGTGGTAGTTTTAATGGTGTAAAGGCACACATTCTTGAAAAGTATCCATTGGCGTTTTATATACACTGTACTTCGCATAGCTTAAATCTTGCAGTTTCTAATGCTTGTTCAGTGAAAAGTGTACGGAATACTATGGGAAGTATTCAAGAAATATGTGTCTTTTTTAGAACTCCCAAACGTCAACATGTGCTGGAAAAAACTATTGATAAAGTTTTACCGTCAACTAATAAGAAACGTTTGAAAATGATGTGCCCTACTAGATGGGTTGAACGCCATGATGCCATTCTAGTATTTATTGAGTTATATAAAGCTATTTTAGTGGCATTAGATGAAATAAGTGAATGGGAAGATATTGATACATCATCAAAAGCTAAACGACTTATGATAATTATTGAACAACCAGAATTTATTATAACAACACACATCATTGGAAGAGTTTTCTCTGTAAGTATGCCTCTCAGTCGCCAACTTCAGACAGAAAATATTGATTTTTTAACAGCTTTAAAAGTAGCAGGAGATGTTCAACAAATATTACAAAGATTTAGAGAAAATGTAGTCAATGATTTTCATATTGAATTTTTAAAAATTGAACAATGGTGCCAAGATTTAAATATTGATACAGATTTTAAAAGATTAACAAGAACACAAAAAAAACTCTTAGATGAATTAGTTACTTCAACAAATAAAACAGTTGAAGATTTTTATAGATTGAAAATATATGTACCATTCTTGGATAATTTTTTATCACAGTTACATGATCGATTTATAAAACATAATAAATTATTGCAAAGTTTTAGTTGTATTCTACCTGGCTATAAAATGCATTCAGGAACTGATCAAGATATTAAATACCTCATTGATACATATCAAGAGGATTTGAATAACAGTAGCTTAGTTATAACTGGAGAATTATATTTATGGCAAGAAAAGTGTAATGAGATTCATGTTTCAAAAAGCGCTCTTGATGTATTTGGTGAATGTGACATAATGATATTTCCACACATACACAAATTATTAAAAATTTTAATAACCCTACCAGTTACTACCGCAACTGGTGAACGATCATTTTCTACATTAAAGCGTTTAAAGACTTATTTAAGGAATTCTATTGGAAAAGCAAGATTAAACGGCTTAGCTCTGATGAACATTCATCGAGATATTAAAATAAATACAGATGAAGTTATTAATGAGATGAGTACAAAATCTAGGCGGTTAAATTTCCGTTTGGAATAATTAATTTGTTTTTTAAAATTATTTTTCTTTTGTGTATTAAATATTTTAATAAAGGTTATTAATGTTTTTAGTTTAATGCTGTCATTTTAATAAAACAATAGTGTATAGTGTATGGCTATTTAAATTAATTCTAATTATAGAACAATACTCAATATGCATGAATGTACACATGTATAGCAATTTTTGTGTTTTTGTGTTTGCCATAATTAATTTAAATGTATTTTTACTTAAAAATGTATAACATATATCCTCCCCCCCATTGAAAATTCCTGGGCACGCCACTGCTTCCGTCATCGCCGACGCACTGTTCCCGGCGGTTCCGGTCATGGATTCGAACTTGGCTCCGTCCCCAGCAGTGCACAACATCTTCCAGGCGTTCGACCAGGTCCTGAATACACTCGAGTTCACCAGGGTCATTCCAGAATTCAGGCCGGAAGAACTCAGTAGAGCAGTTAGGAGGCTGACATCGGGTAAGGCGATCGGTCCTTCGGGGATCCCCAACAAGATCCTCCGAGCCGTCGCGCTCGCTCAGCTCTGCGCAGTCCTCCGCGTCTTCAACGATTGCCTCGAAGCGCTGACGTTTCCACCACGTTAGAAGAGGGCACGGCTGTACTACTTTGTAAGGGCCCGGACAAACCTCCGGACGCCTCGTCGAGCTACAGGCCAATCTGTATGTTGGACGCCCCTGGAAAGCTGCTCGAGAGGCTCCTTCTTCAGAGGCTAGAGGACCACCTGGACGCTCACAGGGGACGGATAAGAGCCCCGAACCAGCTCGGCTTCAGGAGGAGAGTCAGCACGGAGTCAGCAATCGGCATGGTTCTCAGCATCGCCGCTCAGGCGGCTACCACCCCGAAAAGGAAAAGTCTCTGCATTTTGGTGACGCTGGACGTCAGGAACGCTTTCAACTCTCTGGGGTGGCCGGTCATCGACGCAGCTCTGATGGTTAATTAACACTCCAGAGTACTTAGTAGAGATGCTCCGGTCCTGGTTGGCTGACAGAACACTTCTAACTGGCGAGGAAATGGCAGAGAGACCGGTGACCTGCGGAGTTCCACAGGGCTCCGTCCTTGGCCCCGCCTTGTGGAATGTCACTTACGACTCCCTCCTGAAGATGAAAACGCCGCCCAGGGTGTAACTCGTCGGCTTCGCGGATGACCTCGCGGTTTTGGGTACGGCCGTGACCGGACAGCAGCTTGAAGAGGCAATTAATCCCACATTGACGGCCATAGATGACTGGATGCGGAGCAGGGGCCTAGAGCTGGCTCATCAGAAGAGCGAGGCGGTAGTACTTTCCCGGAGGCGGGCGTTTGTCCCACCACGTTTGACGGTCGGCGGTCACCTGATTCCATCGCAAAATGAGATCAGGTACCTCGGTGTTATTCTGGACAAGCGTCTGACCTTTGCTGCACACGCAAGTACCATCGCTGCGAAGGCGGCCCGCTCGGCTGCTGCGATATCCAGGCTCATGCCCAACATAGGTGGATCAGCTCAGCGGAAGAGGAGGCTGTTCGCGTCTGTTGTGGAGAGTCAGTTGCTGTACGCTGCTCCCATCTGGATCCCTGCCGTTGCAGAAGTCGCCAGAACTAGGGCGATCTTGATCCGTCCCCGCAGAGGACCGCCGCCTTGAGGGTAATCCGGTCATACCGTACCGTGTCGGACGAGGCCGCCCTGGTTTTGGCCTGCATGCTGCCCGTTAACCTGCTCGGACTGGAGAGGCAGAGCATCGGATCCCGACTGCGTGCCGCGATGGAGCCCGGCGAACAACGGCCTCCCAAAGTGGTCGTAAAACACGAGGCAAGAAAAAACACGGTCGTCGCTTGGCAGGCAAGATGGCGTGCTATCCCGAAGGCGGCCTGGACGCGCCGCGTCATCCCTGACCTATAAAGATGGCTAGAAAGGACCATCCCGTGGGTGCCTTTGACGTTTCACATGACACAGGCACTCACGGTCCACGGCTGCTTCGGATGGTACTTCCATTGCATGAATAAAGCCGCAAGCCCGCGCTGCTGGCAGTGCTCGGGCGAGAATCAGACACCGCCGAACACACCTTGTTCGATTGCCCCCACTGGGACGGCTTTCGCAAACCTTTGAGCGCTAGGATTGGCCATCGACCGAGCACCAACGACGTCCCGGACATTACCTGCGGACCGGCGTTCGAGCTTCTACCGATGGACGTTCAGGGGAATGAAACCATCCTGAACGAAGCCGAAGAGCGGTTTAGGTTGTTTTCTTTCAGCTAAGAAAGAAGAAGAAAGAGTGCGACAGGCTGTGAACGGACGGAATCCACCATAGCTAGGCAATCGGGGAGAACGGAGCTACTATTTATTAATAGTATTAGTATTCTTTGATAATATACACCACTTGCGTGTAATAGCAGCGAGTGGGGGATTGGCCCACCGTTGTTAATTATTGTATGTTTTTGTTTTGACAATAAACGATGGGGCTGGAGGAAAAGTACTGGTACCATGGTTCCTCCTCTAGTCCACGATATCATAAGAAAAAAAAAAAGATGATTCGGAGTAATTAATTTATATTTTTTTATCTTGCTTTATGTTTTATCATTATTTTTATCATGTTTTTATATTATTATACTATTAAATAAATTAAATGATACTAAATTTGTTTATTTATTAATATTTTTTAACGAAATATTTATTTATACTGACCATATATTTAATATTTTACAATCTAAAAATATGTCTGATATAAGTGAATGTGTTAACGAAGTTCAAAAACTAAGAAATAATTTGTCAAGATTAAGAAATGAAGAAATTGTGAACAATTGTTGTGAAGAAGCAAATAAGTTGAATGATACTTTGATTTATGATTGTAAACTGAAAACAATGCTTCGTAAGATATCGTATGAAGTTTTAGATTCTTTAACTGTTCAAATTGACACCAGATTTAAGGATTTTTCAAATTTTGAGTTTGTTGAGTTAACAAATGAGAAAATGTTCAAATGTTATTCAAACAATTTTCCTGAAGCCAAATTTTTAAAGTTACTAAAACAATATCCAAATTATTTTGACGAACATCGTTTGCGTAATGAATTACAAGTAGTTTATTCAGACACAGAAAAACATAAACCTCCTAGTGAAATATTGGATTTTTTTTTAAAAGTAAGTATGTTAGAACGTTAATATAATTGTAAATTTGAAAATAAACTAAATACATTTTTAATATTTGTTTTCAGACAATATACATGAAATATATTCTCAGTATACTAAATTGTGTCAATTGGTTTTATCTATACCTGTTATCACTGCATCCAGTGAACGATCAATTAGCACATTAAAACACATATAATCATTTTTAAGAAACACTATGACAAATGAGCGGCTTTCTTGCTTATCAACATTGGCAATCGAAAAACAACTGCTTGGAGTCATGGTAAAAGATCCTATTTTTGTTGAAGATGTGATAAATGAATTCGCAAAAAAAAAAGAACGAAGGTTTGAAGTAATTTACAAAAAAATATAGCTGATATTATTTTAAATATTTTTATTGTTATATAATTTATATATTTGTTATTTTATCAGTTATACGTATAAAATAAATATTAATTAATAAAAGTTTGAATTTAATTTCTGTATAAAAATATATTTAAACCTAACGATATATAGTATATAAGAAACAATGCAATTTATCTATATTTTTCAGTAGTTCAAATTAATAACTTATAATGAAGTTAAATAAATTATCTATCAAACATTTAGATAACTATATTCGGAATTATTTAACAAATTTAATCAGTTAAAGCATTGACTAAAATATTAATATTTTAAGTAAAAATGTATATAAAAAGTTAATAGTTAAACAAAAGTTAAGTTTCCCCTTAAATTTTATTCACGCACCGCTACTGAAACAATGTACCTGACGCGCAAGATCTGCAAGTAAGTGATATTCGGTATGTTAGAATGTTAAAAGGAATATGTACAACGCCAGAAGAAAGACAATACCTGCACTACTAAAATCGATCGACGAAGTACATGAGGTATTAAGAAGTATGAAAATATTAACAGATACCAACAATATGTTTGTATTAAATACAAATTTTATATGCACCATATAGGCTTAATAAATAAAACTAACGATCAGTGGCGGATTTAGCGTCAGGCAAAGTAAGCAGTTGCCTAGGGCGGCAATTTTAGGCCAATATTTTATTGAGAATACTCTAGGTTTCTTTTTGATTTTCTAATGTACGGTGATTACTCTGAAGGATGGAAAAAAAATGTTTAATATTTAAGTATAATAATATTCTTATTAATATAATTTCTTCTTTATTTTATAACACATAACAATAAACGTCCAAGTAAATTATCGAACGACTGCCGGAACGTTGATCTATTATCTAAATACTAAACATAGATAACATATTTCGTTATTTTGTTTTTTTGCTAAGTCGTAACCATAGAGTAAGGTCGTAACTCGTAATAATTATTATAATAATCGCTCGTGGTTCGTTTGATCGCACGGCGTACACACTACACGCACAATACATACAGATATGATATATTTAATACGAATACGGGTGACGATTGATTCGTATTGAAACGATAGTCTAATTATAAACCAGTCACTGTGGATATTTTTATATAATATACTCATACGTACTATGCATTATGTGTACAAAAATAAAACTTTTTCTATCCAAAAGATAAAATTATGTAATAATTGTTTATTTTTCTTCGGGACTATGAAATAGAGGGCGGCTGAGTAAAAAATAGGTTTATTCTGATTAGACATTCGATTATTTTTAACACAACATTCAAGGCGGATAGACTTCATATTCAGATATTAGTATACTACTTAAAATACTGGTAAGTAAATACTATATTTTATAAACACTTTAATATTATAGCGATAAATTAGTGCTATAGGCTTGCAAAACTGAATTTTATTTTTATGAATATTCGTATGCATTAGTTCTTATTTGGAATTTCAAATTCTTTATTTATTAATTTTCCCTACGCGGTGTGTTATAGCCTATAACTTATTACTTATATAACCTATAACTTATAGGTAAATATTTTCACCATTAAAATTTGATTTTTATCGGTATAAAAATGCATAGAAAGAGATTGAGCGGAGCGCAATATAAAAAAGCCGCAAGAGAAAAGGAAGAAAGAGAAAAAAAAGCTATAAATCAAATCATAAAACTGGATAAATTTTTATTTGTTAAAAATATTGACGATGCAAATCAAACAAATGTGAATTCGAGACATTCGAGTAGTACTGTATTAGATCAAAGCAATGACGTAATACCTACTGATGGTGTGGAAATAAATAATGTTATAAGTAATTCTGAATCCGAAACACCCAATTTAACGACAAAAGAAATTATTCACGAAACAATTAGCACTCCTGAATCATGTAATATTCTTGAATCATCTTTTTCTTTTAATAAAGATCCGGCATTTTGGACTGTCAACGAACATGCGCGTGATATTTTAATATATAAAAAAAATTGTGATTTTATAAACTCTAAATTAGAATCTAGATGTATGACCAAAAATATGTTTGAACGTTTATTACCAAATGGTGAAAAAATCGAGAGGTTTTGGTTAGTCTACTCTGAAAGCACAGGTAAAGCATTTTGTGGACCATGTTTTTTCTTTTCAAGTCGTAACGATGAATCATATTTATCAACGCAAGGTTTTAATGATTGGAAAAACGCACAATCTCGTTTTAAGCAACACGATTGTTCTACAAATCATAGACAATCCCTTATAACAATGAAAACTAGGGCAAATCTTAGTAATCGTATTGATAAAAAGCTTTTTTCACAACTTGAAGATGAGATATCTTACTGGAAAAAATATTTTACGAAGAGTTGTAGCCGTTATAAAATCATTATCATCGCGTGGATTTCCATTTAGAGGTCAAAATGAAGTTATTGGTTCAGTCCACAATGGAAATTTTTTAATGGCAATTGAACTTGTGGCACAATTTGATCCATTTTTAGCTCAACATATTGCACGATATGGAAATCCGGGCAGTGGTCATACATCGTATTTATCATCCACAATTTATGAAGATATTATGCAACTTATGGCAAATAAAATAATCCATACAATTGTTGATCAGATTAAAAAATGTAAATATTTTTCATTAATTATTGATTCCACACCTGATATAACACATATAGATCAACTGTCTTTTATTGTACGATATGTGTATGAAGGTATTCCTGTTGAGCGTTTCATTCAATTTATACCTAGTTGTGGACCTAAAGCTAACGATATGAAAAAAGCCGTTTTAGATACGTTAGAAAGCCTTGATATTAGTATAAATGATTGCAGAGGCCAGGCTTACGATACTGCTAATAATATGTCTGGACGTTATAACGGATTTACAGGCAAAAATAAAAGAATTAAATCCCCTTGCTGTATATATACCATGTGCGGCGCATTCATTAAATTTAGTTGGTACTCATGCTGTGCAATGTTCTAATGAAGCTGCTAAATTTTTTCTCCACGTTCAACATCTTTATACATTTTTTTCCTGATCTACTCACAGATGGAACATTTTAATGTTTAATTTAAAGTCTGAATCAAAAACACTAAAACGTCTTTCAGGAACTCGATGGTCATCAAGAGACGATGCTTGTGTGAGTTTAAATGATTCGTGGGATGAGATATTAAAAACTTTAAGTTTACTTGAAAATGACAATAGTGAACTAGCTGAAACTCGAAACGAAGCCTCTGGATTGCGCAAGAAGTTTGAAAAACTCGAGACAACGTTTATGGCTATATTTTGGGGATTTATATTAAACAGACTAAATGTTGTAAGTAAAAAACTTCAAAGTGTTGAAATAGATATTACAGTAGTTTTGGAGTTGTACGATTCACTAATAAATTTAGTATTATCTCAGAGAGATAATTTTGATGAATTTGAGAAAAAGGCGATTTTACGAGCTCAAATCAAAGAATATAAAACAACAATTTTAAGAAAAAAGAAAAGAACAATTCCATATGATGAATCAAGACAAGATGATGTTCAGTTAACAGGAAGAAATCATTTTAGAATCAATACATATTTAACAATAATAGATAAATTAAATAATGAGCTTCAAAAATGACGTGAAGCCTATAAATATTTTTGTGAACTTTTTTCTTTTATAAACACACTTAAAAACATGAAACAAAATGAAATATCAGAAAAAGCTAAAAAACTTTGTAAAATTTATAAAACTGATATAGATTATGAAGAGTTTGAGCACGAATTATTACATTTCCGATCTCTTTTGATTTCCAAGTATAATGAAGACAAATTCATTGCATTAAAACAATATGAAATAATTTATAAAAATGACTTAAAGTCGGTGTTTCCAAACATAGAAATAATTTTGAGGATTTACATTTCAACACCTGCCACTAATTGTACTGCGGAAAGATCATTTTCTTCTTTGAAGCGGATAAAAATTTATTTACGTTCAAAATTAGGACAAGAAAAATTAAACTCCTTGGCGATTTTGTCGATTGAAAGTGAAATGACAGAGGAAATACAATTTGAAGACATAATTCAAAATTTTGTGGAAAAAAAAGCAAGACGCAAACAAATGAAATAGTTTATTTTTTTACATTAGTTTTATATGTTGTATAATAATAAGTACGCATTTTTAAGTTTGATTAGTTGCTTTTGTTTTTTTATAATACTATAATTTAAATTTGATTGAAAACATTAATTTTTTGAAGGAACTTAATTATATTATCTATATTATAATTATATTTGATTGGTACAGCAAATTCAAAAAAATGGTGATGTATTATATTTTAATAAATATTGTGTTGTTATACTATTTACTTGATTAGAACAGTTTATTAACATAACCGCCATTAATTAACCTGACCTAACCTAACCTTCTCGTTGATAAGTTTAATGGGGCGGCAAAAAAAAATTTGCCTAGGAGCGGCAATTGTGTAAATCCGTCTCTGCTAACGATATAAAAATAGTATATAATAGTGATAATACTATAAACAAAATAATAGTTTTATCAGTTACTATTGTAATATCTATAATTCACTATTTTAATATTGTCGTCTTACTGTTTATATCAATTGTTGCGTGCCAATATCAGATCCAGATCCAGGGTGTTATTTTAATGAAATTTACAACTCTTAAATACAATAATGTTTTATTACGTATAAATGAAGTACATGTAACTGTTACAAAAAGTGGCTAAGTGTCGTGAAGTTGCTCAGGTACATCTGCCCCTGTTGGTTTCTGGTCTCCCTTATATACAAGGAAATCTCTTGTTGTTGTAATCGACAACATTCCAATTCAGATTAATTCTTGGAATTGTTTTCACATTTGAAAACAACAATCTCCAGGATGTTATCGTCCTTACTGGCAATTCTTAGAAATGCAAAACGACCTCGCCTAACAACTACTATTTTGATTTATTATGATGTTTTTACAAAATATGAATCTAATATCTCGTATACATTATAATTATTAGATCACATATATATCTATATTACTATTGCTTACACCTATAGCAATATTACACATTATATTATATATATTTATATTATTAGCATATCTCGTAGCCCATAACACAGTATACGATGTGTCAATGTATGGAATTATTAGAACTGTAATCAATTTATTTTGGTTAATAATTATTCGATTCATATACTATTCTTGTATTGTAATTTATAATTCTATTTTAGTAATGTTTATATTTTTAAATTGTGTAAAAAACAGTATTCTTAGTTTATCGTTCATTCATATTTACGTGTCATTTATGAGAAGACAGTAATGTATTATAACACTTAGTTTAAAATAATTTTGTCTCATTTAAAATTGTTTTGTTGCAAATTTTATGTGCACCAAAAGTTGTTTAAGTACGTGTTAAAGTTGAGTTGTTTACCAATAAATATTTAATATTACTATACACATATTATACATAATACGTTAGGTATAATTACAAATTATAATGGAGCAAAAAAAGGTAAGTTAAGCATTTTGTTATTTATATTATTATTTTTACATATTTATCATAGGTAGTGAAGAAAAATAATGTGACATACTGATAATCAATAGGAAAATAATCTCGAAAATTATGCTTGTTTGAAAAATGAAACAAACTTAATTTTAATTTTATTTGTTTTTTTTGATATTTTGTTTTTATTTCCCATTAATTATTTATGTAACAATAATAAAGTAAAAATACTCGTACGTAGGTACTGATAATTAATAAATTAGTATTATTTATACGTATTTACTGTAGAAATGATGGAAAAAAGACAACAGGTTGGTGATATTGTTTCATGTAGGTACCTGAAGTAAGTACATTATATAGTGGCGTATTTAGAACTTATTTGCAGAAGGGGAGGATGAAAAGTTTATTAAACGACTCGTAGGTAAATAATACACTATTACAGTTATTATAAAATCAAGATTTCTTTTTTAACTAGCTAATAAATTATCAAATATTAATAAGTTAACATAGCCACTATTAGTAGCAATACTAGTATCATAAATGCTACAATAATATTATAGCCATGTTATAAAATATCAAATAATATAAATATTATAATAAAATGTCTTTGGCACTGAGATAGATAAGAATAAGTTATAAGAGCGCGGACTAGCGTTTAGCGTGTTGCAACGGGCTGTCGCATTTTTCATTAAGTACCCAATTCATGTTTGGAAAGTAATTTCGTAATACGTAGGTACAATATAATTACTATTGCATTATTATCTATGCTGCAGTTTACTCAACCTAACCGTTGGTTAGGTATATTCACTGTATTTATTTTTTTGTGTCATTAAATTTTATTAATAATATAAATGAATCAAAAGACTAATAAATTGAGTTTATTTCGATGTTACAGCAATTATAGTAATAAATAGGGCTGAGGACCGTATTTTGTTAAAAAATATTTAATAGAAATTTTTTTTTCGTTATTTTCAGAACTGGATTTTATCAAAAAGTAACTTTAAAAAAAAAATTGGCAAGTTATTTAAAGTAAAGATAAAGATGGAAAATAAAATAAAGAAACTATAGGAACGGAAAATAATAACAAGAATAATTGGAATAATTGGAAAAGTATAGACTAAATATTTGGTAACTAAATTTATTAGAACTCTTAACATTGTAAAAATGGAAAAAGAAAATTATCAAATGCTGTTATTTGGGGAAATATTTTGTAGAAAGTATAAATTTAATTAATCATAAAAAATTTATAGGAAAATGAATAACTATGGTAAACTTAAAATCTTATGCGGAATCTTGTAGGTATTAAATTTTCAAAAACTGAATATTTATTCATTTTAAATTTAAAATTCAAACGCTCATAATAACATTATTCCTATAATGACGCTTCGAGTTTTCTCTACAGCTAACCAAAGGAAAATTTATGGAAGACTTATATTTTTGAATTTTTTAACCTTAAATATAAATACAAAACACTTTATGAATTTTCAACTACAAAATTACTTGCAAATACCTAATACATACATCGTAAAAATTTTAAAAGCTTATAAAAAAAATTGTGACCAACGATTTTTGATTTTTTTTTTAACTACAATAAGAACGACTTATAAGAAATCTTGTATTAAATTTTCAAATATTTTTGGGAATCTAAAATTTTTTTTTCGACATTTCAAAAACAAATTCCCAGAAAAATCGAAAATTTCAGTTGTCTATAAATAGCTCAAAAAAAGCTATAATATTTAACAGTACATAGATAATGCTAATATAAATATTTATTGAGAATTTCAAGTATTTACAATGATTCGTTTTTGAGTTACAATAATATAAAAAAAATCGGTTTTTTTTTTAAACTGCACGGTTTTGCATAAAAATTCCCGTTTTTTCTTTACCAAGTTTAATAATAATCACCCATTAAATGATTTTGGAAAATTTGTTGTAATTTAATATAAATTATTTTTAACCTTGATAGATTTCATCACTACCTATGTACGTATATTATTATTTTCTACTTATTATCATAATATTAAAAATGGTAAGTTATTTGTATTATGAAATTATTAGCGATTGAATTGAATCAAACCTGTAGCAATTTTTTTTTTTTATAAACTCTAAATGAAATTCAATATGCAAAATCATAAAATTTACCAGTATGAATATAATTTATAGTACCTATATTTTATAATTAAAATTATTTATTTATGTATCTACTTAACTATAGAAAAGAGGGCGAAAGCCAGCGATTAATTCAGATAAAATTTTTGGAGTTCTTGAGGAAAATGAGTTTGAATTGTTTGAAAATGAAAAATTAAAATCAAATACTCATGCAATATGGGAGAAGATATCGAAGGAGTTAAATTTTAAGGTCACACCATTAAATCTATTTATTTCAGTCTACAAAGATCGACATGATTTTCAAACTAAATTAAAGTAAAGCCTAAATATTGAACACGCATGTCGTTTGAAGAACAGATAACGGACGAAGAAAACGCATCTAGTGAGTAAAATGAGGAAAACCACGAAGAAGAAACAGAAAATAATTTGGAATCATTTGGCAATAAACGTATTATTGATTTTAATCATACAACGTTTAATTTTAATATTCCTTTTGAAAAGTATATAGAGTTTAAACCTTCAATTGTTGAATATCGAAGAAAAAATAAGAAAAGAAAATACAACGTTTTAAAACAAAATGTCTGGTCTGATATAATAAATTATGCTTTTTTATCTGAACATAAGTTACTATGCAATTTTATTTACAAGCGAAATAAAGTATTCATTGGTAAGATTGAAAGTAAACATTTTTTAACATTTAACGCCAAGTGTAAAGATTGTGACTATGAATTATTTGGATGGAGTGATAACGAACCAAATGATGGAGATCCATTTTACATCCATATTCAAACAAAAAACATTAAAGGACGTGAGTTAGAGCACACAAGTAAAAGGCCATTTAAAGGAGAAAAACGAAACAATATTGGACGACAACTCTCAAAAGATCTAGCCAGTAATTGGAGACGAGAAAATGTTTCAGATATGGAATTTGGTCGTATTACCCCTCCAAATCTGTATGGACTTTCAGTTCTTCGTAAAGCTAAACAGCAATATAAAGATAAGATTTTAGGTATTACAGAAAAGTG